ATAATATTATAATAACCGGTATAATAAAAGGACATTTTTTTAATTTTGAGCGGCTTCGGCGCTCAAAAAAGTGCAGCCCCTTCGCCCTTGCGTAACAAAGATATTTGAAATATGTGAATTTTCAATCGACCAAATTAATAAATGTCGAACCATTATGATATATTATTTATTTATATACTTTAGAACTTTAGAACTCATAGCATATTTCTAGCTACACGTCACTATAATATACACACATACACATACAACACGTAACATAATTAACGCACTTTGAGAAAGTAGTTTGTTCAGAATCGTTTACTGAATCGATTGCTATCATTTTTAATATAGGTAATTTTTTATCCCAAATATAATTAAAACTACGTAAATCACAGTCACACTAAATCTGTACAGTCAAAACAAACTGAAATGGACCGTAACTTAAGGCAATAACTTTTAAGAGTGCAGTTTTATTTGTATTATTACCAATTCTGTCATTCAATAAAAATAAAGAAAAATGAACTTTATTTTAAAGTCTTTGCATTCGTGGACTTGTACTGTGACCACAACATTCTTCCGGAAGTAATCAGTGCATAAAAATGTTTAACTAAAAATTCAGTGTATGTATTATGATTATAACATAATATACTAATTGGGGTGTCTGAGGGTGTGCGCTAATTACGTAAAAAATACATCCCATATATCATATATATATATATATATATATATATATATATATATATATATATATATATGATATATTTTGGAATTAGGCAATTTATTAATAACGATAAAATTTTTGAGTCATAAATGCTCACAGCCCTAGCTTCATAATCGGTTCAAAATTTCGCGTGTATTATGATTATAAACGTGCGTGTGTTTTCGATTTTCGTATGTTTGACATTCGCCTTGAATACCGGTTGAGCAGGTTCCGCGGATGCTCCGCGAACAGTGGCGCGTTCTGTCGCCAAACACTTATTTAGAATGAATGAAGCTATTAGCTGTTAGAACTGATAACATTTGTAATGAACTATGATTTTTTACCATCGAACAGGTATGATTGATTTATTAAAAAAGCCTTTATTAGCTACTGCTTAGAGTTTAAAAGTCTATGTTATAACGCACAATCACTCAATAGATAATCATAACAAAACACTAACATTGGGTGCGTTCGGCAGAAAAAAGCGCTAGCAAGCGCTTGTAAGCAAAATGGCGATCGTAAGCGGTAAGCGCTGTCAAATCGTAAGTAGCTATTTTCCTCCAGGACACGATGTTAGTTTTAACCGGGGAATCTAACCTAATTTAAATATATGTTTGTAAAGTATTCATATTAAAACTTACCAATCATGAGTTTTTAATAGCATGTATATGTTTATTCATGTCATATATTACTTAAAACTAATATTGCACAAAACAACTTATACTTACTCTACTTCAAAACAAACAAATTAAATAAGCAAAATGGCGGCTTGTGTCAGCGCTACTGAAGTAGCAATCGTGTCCTGGCCGAAAACTATTTTAGCGCTTATAAGCGCTTGCTAGCGCTTTTTTCTGCCAAACGCACCCATTGTAATACAGAGGCTGCACTAAAAGTATCGGGAATGGAATATTTCCACTGTTCCTGTCATATTAAAATCTTTTTAATTGAAAACTCCTTGATTTTAAATATCAAATACCATTTATTTCTTTAAAAAAAGATTCTCGGTCTTGTCACAAGGTTTTGTCAAACTTGTTTAGTCGTTGAGAAAATGAAATTGACTCGAGAAAATTCAACAGCGATAATTTATTATGACTTTCGAAGTGGTTTAAGACAAAAACAGTGTGTTGACCGGATAATTTCTGCATTTGGTGATGAAGCCCCATCCAAAACCATAATTTATCGCTGGTTTGCTGAATTTCAACTTTGACGTGTCAAGCTCAGTGATGATCCCCGTCAAGGTCTTCCAAAAACTGCAGTCACCCAAGAAAACGTTGATGCTGTGCGTAATCTGATTGAGGAAGATCGACATGTGACATACCGCGAAATTCAGGCAACTTTAGACATTGGCATGAGTCAAATACAAATAATCTTGCATGAACAATTAGGTGTACAAAAGTTGTTTTCCCGATGGATACCGCATTCGCTCTGTGAAGAGCAAAAAGCGGCTCGCGTTACTTGGTGCGTTAGAACTCTCGAAAGATTCCACGCAGGACCCTCAAATGCTGTATGCAACATCGTATCAGGTGACGAATCCTGGATATATGCGTACGAACCCGAAACAAAAAACGAGTCACGAGTTTGGGTGTTCGAAAATGAGTTAAAGCCAACAAAAATTGTTCGTTCACGGAGTGTTGCAAAAAAAATGGTGGCCACGTTTGTCTCCAAAACCGGCCATGTTACGACTATTCCTCTTGAGGGACAAAGAACGGTTAATGCAGAATGGTATGCTAGCATTTGTTTGCCACAGGTCGTTTCTGAACTCCGTAAAGAGAACTGCAACCGCCGCATCATCCTCCATCACGACAATGCGAGTTCTCACACCGCACACAGAACAAAAGAGTTTTTAGAGCAAAAAAACATAGAATTATTAGACCATCTGCCGTACAACCCCGACCTAAACCCTAATGATTTCTATACTTTCCCTAAAATAAAGAATAAATTGCGTGGACAGAGATTTTCATCACCTGAAGAAGCTGTGGACGCCTACAAAACGGCCATTTTGGAGACCCCAACTTCCGAATGGAATGGTTGCGTCAATAATTGGTTCCATCGTATGGAAAATGTGTCAAATTTCGCGGAGAATACTTCGAAAAGCAATAAATACATTTTTAAATAGTAATGTTGTGTCACTTCCTTGATTCCCGAAATTTTCAGTGCCGCCCGTACTACCTAATTACACTCTAAACTACTTAATAAACACATACTATAAACTAAATCTCCAAAATTGTTTTTTTTTTCTATGTTTCGGTTACCATTGAATATCTTATTCATTGCATAATAGAGACCTATAATATCATATCATCATAGTCTAAGAATGAGGATGATGACGTGTGAAGACTTAGGGTAGGTAAAATGTGAGGTGATAAAGCAGGTATCAATAATGGACTGTAGTTACCACTCACCGTCGTTACCAGTTCGTCTGTAATTTCAGTTTTAGTAAAAAAAAAACGAAAATATGCTTGCATTCCCCTGCTTTCGAAATAAGTTTATCTACATGGATCAGACTTATTTTCTATGCTTGTCTTACGCAATCAAAAATGTGTAAGAAATCCGACGATTGCTATCATATTTATTTTAAACTTAATTAATAAACTATCGATGAGCATCCTCAACGTCGACGTTTCTTTCTCTCCATGTTTCAATTTACCGTACTCTAGGATGGGATGCAAACCCTAGTAATAGTTTCGCGGCGCATAGTGAACGTGAGTTATCTGGTGATCTTCCGTGGATATAGCTAGATAAACGATGCTGAGTCAAGTCCAGCCGGGTGACGCAACGTTGACATTACTATCCGTAACTAATTATACCGACGCACTTTGGTTTTAGTGACTCAACGAATATTTGCAACGTTAAAACTTTTTGTGGGAATTATTCTAGAATAAAAAGAATGTGTTTCAAATTGACAACTCTTTTTACGAAGCAGGAGTTCTTATTTTGAACGAGATACATTACATGCGATTTGAAGTTTATTTATTACCGATAATATACGTTTTTAATTATTAAATTAATTACATAATACTTTAATGTATTAATGTACGAAATTTCGAAGGCATGGTTAATGGTTGCAATGTATTATTTATATTAATTACAAGCATCATTATATCCTACACACACTTTAATAAATCCATTCATCCACTGGTGAACATTGGCCTCTTCCAAAGATTTCCTTTAGGTGGGATTTTGCCATAGTTGCCACGCTTTTCAGGCGGTATGGCAACTGCAGATTTTCTATCTATAAACATCTATAAACACTCACGACTGTCACCCAGAGGGGTAGACAGAGACTACAGACTTCCATTTGGCACGATCCTGACACACCTCTCTTGCCTCCTTCACATCCATACACCTACGCATACATGCTCGTCGGTTAAGGGTACTCCTAATTTGGCCAGTTTTCAATAAATCGCCAATTTGGTCGATAAATTCCTTTGGACGTCCCTTTCCGACTCTGCCATTCACTTCTGCACCATAAATTTTCTTTGTCACTCTTTCCTCATTCATTCTTTCCACATGACCAAACCATCGAAGCATTCCTTTCTTAATCCTGGTAACAACATCAGATTTTCATAGATTCTAGAAGGTTAATTTCCTTCTGTTATTAAATAACTATTGTCATATTATAAGCAGCAGCAATCGCTGCAGAAGTTTAACCAGATTTTCAAATTGTTAATTTAGTCCTTGGTCATACGTACGATATAGCCCCGGTTGAGGTCTCATTTATAGTAAAAATTGAAACAAAACTAAGTGTTATTAGATTTTTCCACAGACTAATTATTCTAATAACATTATAAACGTAATGAAGGCAGTCCTTATGTTGGCGCGAACACTACACATTGATTAAAACTACGGTATGCTCACGGGGGATTGAGGTGACTGACATCCTGATATCAATGTTAACCCGGAGTACCTTCATCTTTTTAATTATTATTTATGGTCCGATCTACGCATAATGAACTTACTCTTTCTTGAAGTGGTACGCTTGGGTTTGGTTTCAATTTTATTAATTACGGGACTTCCCTCTGTCTGGAAGTCTTCAGTTTGTGATCATAATATACTGGACGGTGCCCACCATTACAACAGATTTGATAGACCACAAATCCTCGCGAAAGAATATCGATTCCTACTAAGGATGATACGTGAGGCTATTGAAATTTAAAAAAAACATCCTAACTTCAATAGAGAAGGAGGCTGGGTACTACCACCTGCTTGGGATCCTGTAATTGATAAAATTGAAGTTTATAAATTAATAAAATTAAAGTAGTTTTAATTTAACAGTGTACAATATTCGAGATAATGACTACAAATCAAAATATCTTTCCAGAGCCGGGCGCAGAAGGCGGAACCCGTTAGCCCTATACACAGATGACGACGGACACGATCTTAGTGACTTAGGCATCGGCACCTCCAGCACGAAGAGCAGCCTCAGCGAGGACTGCGACACACACAGTCTTGCCGTAAGTTTATGAACTAAAAGAGTTAATATTTTTAATACTAATAATAAGATATAAAATTTAAACAAAGTAGGCGGTCCTCCACTTGATGGTGTGATGTCCTGGTCAAAGATACAGGATGCTGGCCTAGTAAGTCGATGGATGCAGGTGACTCAGGATTGTGCTTTGTAGCATTCATTAGAGGAGGCCTAAGCTTAGAATAGAACGGGAAGTAATGGTAATGATGAATTTCAAATACTTTTGTTTCGCTTAAAATTAAACAGTGTCTAATTTTAACAATAAATTCTACATTAAAAATTAAGTGTTTGTGCTAAAGTTGATTAGCAACAATATGACTTCATTAGTTTTTTTTGATACTCTTAACTTTTCATTGGCTTATAAAACCTATTAATGTATCGATTACTTGAAAATTATTTACATCCTATTGCAAAGAATTTAAAATGATTTTCTTTTAATTTCAGAGTGATGGAATGGACCTCGACAAAAATCACTCAGATGTTGATAATATGTCTAATTGTGGTAATAATCGCAAGCTCGGCTCGAGTACCAACGAATACGATACTTGCACGACTACAACAATTAGCTCTCCTGAGCCAGAAGAATACACGTACGAAGGTGCAATAGAGGGTTATAAATCCAGGATCATTTCACAAACAAACAGTAACATTGTAAAGACAGTTGTCAACAATAATTTCAAAGACAAATCTCAAGAGAAATCTAATGGTGACATTAACAGAATTAGAACGTCTGTTAGCAACAAAATTGATAAAAAAGTTGCTTCCTTACAACAGGAACGTACGATTGACATAAAAAATAATAACCAAAAGAAAGATTTGCCAAAAGTTGATATACACAAGCGAAGGGAGCAATTTGAAAGAGAAAATTCACAAGAGTTACAATTAACTAAACCAAAATTACCTGATATTGCTGGCAAAAGATCTATCAAGGATAGGTTGACAAGCCTAGAGAAGTTTACAGAAGAAATGCATGTACAAAAATCGACAAGTGACCCGACAAAGTTTCCCACTGAAGTCAAGCCTTTGAAAGAACGATTATCGTCTTTAGAAAAGATAAAGTCTACAGAACCAGAAAAGTTTAAAAGGCTGTCAAATGGAGATCTTAGCAACACAAAATCTCTAAAAGATCGGTTATCTAGCCTTAAATCACAAACTTCGGAAGAAGAAGGAAAAATCACAAAAACAGATGTTAAAGAAGTTTCTATGAGTTTTAAAGAACGACTTTCCTGTTTAGACGCTGCAAAGAGTAAAGAAATTCCTAAAATATCAGTAGAAGAAGAAATGGTCTGTAATGAAAAATTTGAAAGCAAAGTTTGTGATAATACACAAGATAAAGAGTTGGATTGTTCCCTAAAATCAAGTCTGTCTGGTATAGAGAATCAAATGCAAAGCTTCTGTCGGTCGCTTGATAGCTTGGATATTAATGGTCAATCATCACCTAATTCGTTTGGAAGGGTTCAAAGTTTAGAAGACTTTGATTGTGCTGAAATGCAAAACAATACTGTTTCAAGTGATATTGAAACAGAGGACAGTGGTATACACACTGCTAGAGACTCTTGTGCACCACCGGATGATATTGCGGATTTAACTCAAGTAGCTTCTCCTATTGGAGAACCTATGGCTGAAGTTTCCGAATATGAGTCATCGAATGAAGATAATATAATTGTTTCAGAACCAGCCAAAATCGAAGAAGTAATTGATAGTAACACACAGTCTGATCAAAATACTGTTAGTGGCATTTTAGTGGAAGAAGTAGAAGAAGAAGATAGCAAAGTTGAGGATACAGACAGTGGTAGTAATTACGTTCAAGCAGTATCACAACAAGAAGAATTAAGTGTCACTGAAGACTTAACAGAAATTCAAATTGACAAAGAAGATGAAGACACTCTTAAAAGTTTGGACAATCAGGACTCCAGTGTAAGTTTGAATGATCCTGTGTCTACTGCATCGGAGGGCGATACTGTGGTATTTCAGGGGAAGATGACTATTCACTTAAATTTGAATGAAATTTGCAACACTTTGAACACTAGTACCGGAAATAATCTTAATATTAATGAAACTAGCCCTACTAACGATTCTTCTAACTGCAAAAGCATGCCAATGGTAACTGTCTCTAACATTACAACTACTACTAACATTTCACCAAAGAATTCCATTAAAACGCTAAAATTATTTAACGATAGCCATAAACCGCTTTCTGATAATGTAGCCGATGTAACATCACCCATTCATCATAGTACGGATCACGTCAATAAAAGTAAACCTGTTCCACCGATTCATTTATCTAATGAGATCGACGCTGTCGAAACACAAAATGAAAACAGTGTAAACAATCATGATACAAATTTAACGGTAAGTAGTTCACAAGATTCTAATCCTTTCTGGCAAAAACGAACTAAACGTTGCCTGGAACCTAACAGAAGGAAAACTATTTTGTTTATTAATAATAAAACTACTGTTAAAACTACTACCAATACATGTATTACAAGTACCAAAAACAGTATATAACTGAAGCCTTTTGCACCAAATGCTTAACATGAGAATTTTCCTATTCTATTTCTCATTATTGCATTTTGCAAGTGATATGAGAAACGACGATATAGGCTATAACTTTTCTAGAATTTTTATGATCTCTTGATTATGTCTAAAATTTTCCGGTCTTCCGAACGTTAATCGCGTTTTATTAGGAAAACTCTTACGTTTAGATTCACTCGAGTAATACTAATTTATTCGTGTACACCATGCCATGTAACAGTATATAATTTTTTCATTCGTATTTGATGTCTAATACACCATTTCACCGTTTTAATTCGTTGTGCTAAAACAAATTAATCAAGAATCGTTATTTTCACCACATCCAAAAATAAACGATCTATTATTGTAGCGTAAATTACAGGGTTTTAAATATAGCTCTTTATACAAATATATTAAAATATCGTAAATTTTAGATGTAGTCACATTTTGCATTCATTAGAAATGTTCTCTACGTGATATTTGTAAATTCATATTATAGAAAATATATGTTGCACTGTTACGTTTGGGTTTTATTTATGTATATGTTTATACTCCTTTCATTTAAATGTAGTCTAATATTAAAAGGAAATATTAAGTCATAGAAGAGTCAGGTACATTACTATTTTTGAGTTACGATAAACATAATGTTATCTATGAGGCGCATATCTTAATCAAACAAGGCCGTATCTTGTGAGTGTGACTTAGTAGGCTCAGGGTATCTGTTATAAACGCCCCTCATAGCATTGTTCTCATAAATATAATTATTTTCATATAAAGGTTTTCTCATTCGGATTTGTTACGTCAGCTTTTGGTGATGGGTTAATGCAAGGTAAGAAATATTTTGGGTGAAGGTATTTGTTGTAACATTTCATTTTCGCTGCATTATGTGCTAATAATATTGTCTTGTCGCTTGTGATTTCAGCATGGATTATTTCTTATTTTAACTTCTTGGTTTACTGATGTGGTACTTTATATTATTTGTTTATTTTCATGTCAGTTTTTACTTCAAATTTACATTAATATAAATACAGTAAAATATTTTTTTCTTTGAATTCGTTACTTGTGAAAACTTAATACATTAAGGTCTTTTGTTTTAAGCTTTGTTTTTAATACGTTATTGTTGATTTGTTAAATACTTTTCATATATTTTAATAGTGAGTTTAAACATTCTTCAGGTTATCGATGCTCTTGAGCTAGCATTTAAAGAACTGGATTCCGAGGATAGCATAGCAGATAGTAGTAAAATGGAAGAAGAATTAAAATTAGATGGTAATATAAACGATTCAAAGGCCACAGATAAAGCTGCCGCTTTATTGAACTTCGACATAGACAATAAGGTATCAGTGATGCCGCTGTATGAGAACATTGATATATTCTATCAAAATACGGCGGACGATGCCGGGGCTTTTCCACTTGATCTACCTACCAATGTTTTGGAGCCTCCTAAAGAAAAACCCCCTCCTCCGCCTACTGAAGAACCACCTACAGATGAACTTCTTGGAAATGTACGTAAATATTCAATTTTTTAGAAATACATAATAAATTGAAGCATGTACGACTCGAAAGAGGAATATGGTTATATTTGTGATTATCTATTTTACCAAATGGCGGTCGCGAAAGTATGTTTTATAAATAAAAGATAATTTGAATTTTCTATTGTTAGTAGAGCCATGAAACTTAAAAAGCTTTCAATTTCAAGTAAAATTTTAATTATTATGTGTACAGTTTATGTACGTAAAATGCATCAACAATAAAAGACACGTTATTAGTATTGAGGAATGTAACTTTTTTTAAATGATACAACTCGACTTAAAGGAAGTAATTATTAAAGACTTACTGGAATTCATATTATATATATATATTAATAATTATTATAAAGTAAGAATGACGATTAAGGCAAACCCTCTTTATGAGGAGAGGAGTCCAAATCCAACAATAATGTTTGCTGGCTGATGGAGAAGACCTTATTGAAATTTTTTTAAATGCGGCAGCTAAAACTTTTATATGTGCGATATGTTGTCGTTGCTTGTGAGGATTGGTTTTTTTCGCTCAAAAGCTAAGTATAGGTATTCAACGAGGAAACGCAGCCAGCGTTCTTGGTGCGATACCGCGCGAAGTAGGAATGTAAGATAATTTTAAGTTTTTAGTTTTAATTCTTTTTTTATAATGGTAATAAATATAGTATATTTTAATGTTATGTAATAATTCCGACATATAAGAAATAAATAAACCTAAATGTTCATTTCAGGGTAATTTTAAACACACAAGTTCGGCTCGTCGGATCAAGAAGGAAATACGTAACAAACGCACTTCCTTCCTCGGTATCGAAGGACAAGTTGATGACAGCTATTTGGATGTAGATCTAACTTTAGCACCGCGTCCTGATATTACATCCTTTCTGCAAGAAGAAACAAAAATCGAAAAACTACTGTACAAAAAGACATTGTCCCATGATATGGACGCAAAGTTAAGAGACAGTAGGGATTCTGGCGTTGATATTGATAGAGGACCATCGGCAGAAGCTTGGTATAAAGGGCAATCCTCGCCCGAAACATCTAATCCACACAGCAGACAAAATAGTGAGGTAAGCATATAAATTTTTTATGTGTTTACTATTGTACCACCGTGAATATTAATAGATCTATCTATTTAGAAAAAAAAGTTGCTCTGTTTGTCCCGTGTACGTTCCTATACCATTCATTCGATTACGTCTAAACTTTGATGTGTCGTGCGCAATTGCGATGCGATTAACTCACAAGGGAAATAGTTTGCATAGTTGACACCTCACTGGGGTTGACAACCACAGTTTTTTATATTACTGTCGTTATCGAGAAGACGCTGCTGCCTATCTCCTGGTTTGTTTCCGCCTTACGACATCCAAGGGACGTTATAGGGTAAAAGATATATTTACACTTACACGGTAAAACTAAAAGGTAAAAAAAATTAATAAAAATTATACAATTATTATACGGCAATTTCTCTGTATATACTTAAATATTAACAATCCATTCTCCATTTTTTTAAACACAAGTTTCATTTACAGCCTTATACTCAAGTAACGGTAACCTCCGATGAGGAAGAATCTACTAAGAAGAAAAACGAACAGCAGTTTACAGAAGATTTAACTTCGAAACTCACTTCCTTGTCAAATGCCCCCGATAATGATCAAACCAAAATTGATAGTTTGGATAAAAAAATACAACAGCAACAGGTGAGACCCAACTAAACTTAATAAAATTTATCATTTCTCAATGCACCCTATTAAGCTAAATATTCGTGTACCTTCGATGAACACGGTAGTGTCACAGGGTACACTTTTAGGGTCAATTATATTTAACTTATACGGAATAGCTAAATCGTATCAACTATCTTCAGTTCGCTTCACCAGTGAAATGCTTTTAAGAAGATTAGTTAAAATGGGTGTCATTTGATTTATCTGTGTATAACAAACTGCTATTTAGACTAATAGTCAGAGTTGTTTTTATTAGAAGTATTTTTTTTAATATCAAATGTAATTATTTCATTTAAAACAATAAGAGATTAGAGATGATTTGTAAATTTTTGGTATTAATTGCTCTTTCTCGATTTCTTCATATAATTATTATGATTAACTAACAATATAATATAAGATTCATAGCAAATATTGTAAGAATATCATTTGTTATTAGTAATTTGTATCTGCTCATAAATCTTAGCTTTGAAACCTTATTTATTATTCTAAAAATGCAGTTATTTTCATTATTAGAAAAACGTATTATACACGTTTATTAGCATTGTGTAAATATCAAATTCCGGTGATGGGAATTCTTTCCACATCAGTCATTTATTTAGAAGATTTTTGTGTAAAGCAATGATCCAAATCTACCTCCTGATCGTGGTTTACATTGTCTATTTAAAAATAATGTAGTTCCTGTCATTGCTTTATACAAACATGTTGATTTGGTTTTGGTGTAATTGTGTAGTGTAGTCTGTTCGCTTAATTACGTTCGGCTTTGTGTCGCGCCGCCTTGGCACGTACCGCATGTTGTCAAAGGCGCCGCCGCAAAATCATAGGTCGCCGCGAGCGGCGTACATCCGTAGGAGAATTTGGCATTTTAAAAAGAAGCATCGAATTGAAAAGTTCTTTGCTATCTAACTTGTATTTATTATTTATATTCGTATTTTAATAACCATAAGAATAAAATAGTATATCATTTTATTCTTAGAATATAGTTCAAACAGGCAATAACAATAATAAAATAAAAGAAAAATAATAAGTGTGCTTCCGGGTGTTTTGACACTACCTTAGTGAACAGATTATAATTCATACAATTACTTATTATAAATATGCTGCTAAAATAACATAGCACCGCTTTCTAATGCCTAATAAATATCGTGTAAAATTATATTTTGTTAAGTTTAAATAATTCTCTTCTGAGTTTTTGTTTATTTACGTTATTGGAAAGTAGTTTTGGTTAGAGCTTATTATATTGTATATTTGATTTACCTTGCCCAATAAAAAGTATTTATATCACAGTATCTTCTTGCCTTTTATTTACTCCTGTTTTTGCACATTTATTCATTGCGAACTTAGCATGGCTACGAAGCTTTCCATTTAATAATTTCTATTAGTTTTAAAACACTTATTAACACGTATAAAATATGGCTACATACTTTAAAATACATTTACATGGTTTAAAATCTATTTCAATGCGCATTTTTACATGAAGCTTGCAGAATATCACAATGTGTTTTACTTTTTTGTTTGATTAACATATGCTCTGTCATCATCTACCATTTTGTGTGTGTAAATAACATTAAACAACATGGCCGCCGTGGTGTAACTTTACAGGCGGTTCGCACTAACGAGGATTGGCCTGACGGGCACTTTGACGATGCTCATATAAAGGTGATTGACATGTTTTACACTAAACTTACAAGCTGTTTCAAGGAAAACAAATGTTGGTTACCATTAAAAAAAGAAAAAAAAACATAAGACTATATTAATTATTACTATAGACCAAAGACTTCTATGTATACTATTAAACTGACAGTTCATACCCAACAAAAACTGTGTTCATACCTACAAAAACTCACAGCTGTGGACCTGGCACGATAAATACTCCACGCAGTTGTATTTTCATTTACAACATTTACTGTTTTCAGACAAATACGAAATAAAGCTACATCCTTATCTGAAATAGTCTTCAAATCACGTTTATAAAGTGCGCACATAAATAATGACAGTGTTTTTTTATTCACATTAGCAAAATCATTGAGATTGTCGAAAAAAAAGTTCGCGACTTACAAAACAAGAAAATCAGTCTTTTATTGTGTAATAAGGATGAAAAACAAGTACACAGTCCACCTGACGGTAAGTGGACGCTGTGGCCCATAGACGTCTGCATTTATCCTCGATTAATAATCAAAACGTAGATGCGTTGTCACCCCTGAGGACTAAATGGAATGCCTCGTTTCCGTAGTAAAAAAGGGTCTCCGGATCTCTACACAACATTACACAGCAGTATTAAGCTGCTATTTCCCGGATCGAGTCGACCCATTCGTGCTACAACCGTAATATATAGCTGCAGCGTGGCTCTACCACGTATAGAAAGAAGTCTGTTAGTCACGTATAGTCTACTCGCCCGCTCGCAATCGTCTAAAGGAAAGGATAATTGACCGTAACTTTGAACGCAGTCAGTCTTGTGGTATTCATGGAAGTCTTTGCGATATAGATCATCTGTTCAATATCGAACCGAAGTTTGTATTTCCTTATGCTCATCAAACATTTAATTACCACGCCATCTTATCCTGCACTTAAGTCTGTTGCTACTAAACTTCCTAACAAATCCACAAAGGTTAACATAAAGATAACGTACTAATACAAACCTATTAATAGGAAGTACTGCGATTCGAAAGAGAGCTCCTACAACTTGAACAAGAAGAGTTGAGGAGACAAAGAGAGAATCTGCTACGAGACCAGAATAGAATAATACAAAAGTCTGTCCAAGACGTTTCGAGTGTGACGCACACTGCGGAGAAGACTCCATCGCATAGGGTTAAAAAAACTAACCAAAATTATAGACATTCTATGCCAAATTTATTGATTAGTGAAACTCACACACATATGCCGCCGAAAGTGCCAGAACGGCCAGTTTTCGATGAGAATATGAAAAGGAAACCATTCGTATCGGAAGAGCACATCCAAAGTCATTTTGGAGTTGAGGAGAGTAGAAAAGTCTTGTATGAAGATAAAGCCAAATTTCCCGAAAGAAGAGTGGTGCCAAATGTAATGAGGACTCCACAGCCGATCTTGCCACCGAAACCAAGGAGTAGAGAGTCCATAGAAAGGGAAATCACTATGAGGTTTGTAAACTACATATGTACATATATTTCTAGACTGGACAGCATAATCAATGTTTTTTAACGCTGTGTCCACGCTGAAGTCTTAGCTGTGGAAGCCTATACGACCCGCAGTTTATTTTAATTTAAAATCGAAGTGACAAAAGAACTTACAGCCTGATGTAGCCCATAAACACCTGCAACCAACTTCGAAGAACAAACAAGGTTTACAGATGGTTCGTCACCTCTGAGAACTAAGCTGGAGCGCCTCACAGCCTTTTTTTGTAGAATGAGAGTAACAAACGAGCATAAAGTCCACCTGATGATAAGTATCAACTTGTTTTCTGTGGCCCATAGACATCCACATTTATCCTCGATTAAAAATCAAAACGCAGATGTGTCGTCACCACTGAAGACTAAGATGGATGCGTCATTTACAGTAAAAAAGGGTCTCCGAAACTCTACACTCGCTATATGAAACACAGTAGTACTAAGCTGCTGTTTTGCGCTGGTATTCTGTGAGAGCGTGGTCCTTCCCCGGTCGAGCCGACCCATTCGTGCTACAATCGTAATATAGCTGCGTTCTACTGGCTCTCTAAATCCTTCAGACCTGACAGCAGCACATGGCTTGCTGTTTTTCAGCAGAAATAGGTAAAAGGGTGCCTACCCAGTTGGGTTCGTAGGCAAAAAAGTAGTTCTACCATCTGCTTGGAACAGTTTTTCCTTCTCTCATTCTTTGAGAAGGTTATGTATGACCTTCAGGTCAAGAGATAGAGAGAGAGAGAGAGAGTAACGTTACTCCTGTACATTTAGCGGACTGTATAATCCTCGAAATATATTGAATTTTCTAGATATCAATCATCAGCGTTGCAAATCGCGAATCAAATTTAGGAGAAAAGTACTTCCCTTGTCATTATATTATTATTCTGTGATATAGGTGTTATCCGTGTGCAATTTATATACTGGATGACCTTTTTTACCGTCTGGAAAAGAGTAGGATGTAACATGTGAACGCAGTAGAAGCCTATGGCACTGATATTTTACACAAAAATAAAAACCGAAAATTTTGAATTAAATAAGTTACTTAATTAAAATCTATCGAAATTCTATTCATGTCCACCCTAGCCTGTGACCCTGCGAAGTGACAAGGTCAAAGATGCCTACAAAATTTATTTTTATTGTCATTCGTAAAGTAGGGTCGATATGATTTGAATTTTGACAGATTTTAATTAATCAATTTATTTAATTTAATACTTTTGTTTTTATTTTTTGCAAAATATCAGTGCTATAGGCTTCCACTCCGTTCACATTTATTAATTTTTATTTATTTTATTTATTTATTTAAGAAATTTATGATTACAAAGATGAATAGTTTTAGTGTAAACATAAACTCATTAGAGTTTTTCCGTACACCATTGCTGTCGACACATTATTCTAATTAACACTTTATAATACATTACATTACCAAAGTTACATTAATATTATTATCAACTTAAATATAGGTGCATTAAATGTTATGTTTCTAATTGACAAACTATTTGTGGGTACAAAAATATAAAATAGTTTTAGGCGATGAGCGTAACATCACAAGGTGAACTTATTGCATTCTGTGAATAATCGTGATACAGGCTGGTGGAGCGTCGAGCCTAAGGTTGCCGAAGTCTAATTCCCCGGTCGAACCTTAAAACCTATTACGCGAGCTATTAATCTAAGTGGACTGTATCTACTAAATGTTTCTACACTTATATAAACGGCAACTATAGCTATAAAACTATAAAACGAACTATTATTTGCCAAATCGATGAAAGGAATCCTGCTTGATTAGGAAAAAACAAATTGGAGCGGGTTAAAACACAATTATATCAAGCAGGCAATATTATTAGGAATATTGACTCACCGGGGTGTCTCTTCTATGCTGTTGGGCACTATAGCTGCGACTTCTGGAACTTCTTCTGGACAGACTCTCTGGGGAGAGGCGGTGCGCGACTATATCTCACACGAAGTGAGGCGGGTTTCCTGGAGCTCGACTGCTTCCAGGCTAAAGCGGTTCTACTAGCGGTATGGTTCCAACAACGAGCGCGGCGGGAAGAGGGCGCGCGTCGGTCGCGCGTGCCTTTTTTTCCTCGGTTGCGATGATTACGTGATATTCTAGAGTCATCTTCTTTCCCTACCGTCAAAATAAATAAATAGGAATGGTTTTCCGCGCAACCACAGGCCGATTATAACATATATTTTCATAAATTTATAATAAAATAATATGTTGGTAAAGTAAACCAATAATATAGAACGAGAAGTTGTTTAAAGTGTTGCGAGTATTTAGTAAGAGTTAATTGTATATAAAAAAAAATTAATTTATATTTTATGTTTTTACGTGTAATGACGTCTTTCAAAGATTTAGGTAAGTGATTGATTAGATTAGGTATAACCACGGTAATATTATCTATACAGTATTCCAACTTCATACAAACGGACGAAGCGAGAGCTATGCCTACGCGCCTCGATCTCGGCATGCGCTCGGCATGCAGACAGTCGAGACTGTGCCGCAGTCATGATTTTGTGAAATATATAAAAAAATGGAGGAAATAAATAATAGAATAGAAATAAATAAATAATAAATCTGAACTTCATTCAAAAACAAACATATAAATTGTAAAGTAGCTGCAGGTATCTATAACCAATTAAAAGATATTCCTTTTCTCCACTTTGTCCATGTTTCCCAAAATAATTTTTAATTTATGTTATTTTTAGCTTTATATTAGAAAGCGGATTTTTTATATTTAAAAATCTAATAATAAAGCATTTCGTAAGTCTCAGCCGAGGTGCAAATATTCTTCGGTCGCAAATTTATTTAACCGATTTGTTATTCAAACATAAACATGGTTTTTTAATTAAATCTACCAATCAAAAAACGACACGAATTTTTATTGAACACTTCCTATTCAATTCACAAAGTACCTATTTTATTTGTTTATATAAAAAGTATATTTACAATCATAAAACTAAATGGAAACACAAAGTAGGCAAATGTAAAATTGCTGGAGGCAGGTAGCCCTATCGCATGTTTACGTGCCGCACGACTGTAGGCAGTTATTTGAAAGATACGGCCGAGTTGCAATACTGTATAGATAATATTACCGTGACGGTAATATTATCTATACAGTATTCCAACTTCATACAAACGGACGAAGCGAGAGCTATACCTACGCGCCTCGATCTCGGCATGCGCTCGGCATGCAGACAGTCGAGACTGTGCCGCAGAGATGATTTTGCGAAATATATAAAAAAATGGAGGAAATAAATAATAGAATTGAAATAAAGAAATAATAAATCCAAACTTCATTTAAAACCAATATATAAATTGTAAAGTAGCTGCAGGTATCTATAACCAATTAAAAGATATTCCTTTTCTCCACGTTGTCCATGTTTCCCAAAACAATTTTTAATGAAGCTTTATATTAGAAAGCGGATTTTTTATATTTAAAAATCTAATAATAAAGCATTTCGTAAGTCTCAGCCGAGGCGCAAATATTTTTCGGTAGCAAAATAAGACCGACTGTTAGTAAAACATAAACATGGTTTTTTAATTAAATCTACCAATCAAAAAACGACACGCATTTTTGTTGAACACTTCCTATTCAATTCACAAAGTACCTACTATATTTGTTTATATAAAAAGTATATTTACAATCATAAAACTAAATGGAAACACAAAGTAGGCAAGTGTAAAAATGCTGAAGGCAGGTAGCCCTATCACATGTTTACGTGCCGCACGGCTGTAGGCATTTATTTGAAAGATACGGCCGAGTTACAATACTGTATAGATAATATTACCGTGGTATAACATAGTTTAAAGTTCTTTTTCCGTATAAGTTATTATATCAAGGTAATTGCAGTTTTAGATTATCAGTTCTGCGTGCCGAGTATAATAACTTATCTACCTTTTTAAAATTTTCAGTAAAGTAATTTTCAGTTAGTAATGTTAGTTCAACTTTGTCGTGAATAGGTATAATTTTACAAAATGCAAATAGTTTTCGATAATCATCTTTAAAATTAATTTTGAGATTATTAGGGACTATTTCTTTTAAAATGCGCATCTGAAGTGATTATATTCGATCTAGATATGTTTTATAGGTTCTCCCATAGCTTGACAAGCCATATTGTATAACAGATTCAGCTAAGGATTACATGTTACACCCTATTTTTTCCAGACGGTTAAAAAGTCTTCCAGTATTTATATGCATAAGAATAACAGTGCTTTGGCCATCTAGCGTCTATTTTCGTAACACTGTCACTTTGAGATTCAAGTCAATCAATTTGTTCGATAAATTGACCTGTAGAATAAAGTTGATGGCGCTATTACTTTACGCGCGTTCAGTTTATGATGCGCAAAATTGTGGCGAGGAGGGGCAATTTAACGTCTTGACTTTTATTCTCGATTTCGCTACCTCGCTATAATTTGTAATGCACTATACGTGAAAATCTATTCTTTAGGAGTAAACTCCAAAAATATGCATGTTTCAATGTTTTCCTTTACCACCGAAGAAAGAATAATTCAGCCTTTAATTGACAACAGGAATTGAACTATGTTAGGCCTTTACAATGAAATTTAGGGTCAGGTGACACAACTAAACTGAGTTTGTTAATTCTATCAATATAATATTTTGCTACAGAAGCAGCCGCGTACCATCTGCGGTCGAGTATGTGAACGTAGATCGCACGCCTGTGCAGATGCGACAGAAGCTCGGGACTAACGGCAACGGACAGTATCACCCTATGACACGTCACACGCTACAGGTAACCACGGATATATTTACTTTACTGCTTTAGCCAAAAGAATGATCAAATTTGCATTTTAATCTTATTGATTATGTGATTTACATTTACAACTGAAAAAAATTGCAATGAGTGTGTAGTTCATTACGGAATAACAGTTTGGAAACTGTATTCTCTTTCTTCAGTAAAAACGCCTGCGACAAAAGAATAGCAATTTTGTTGTTTAGTAATGACACATATATATATATATATATATATATATATATATATATATATATATATATATATATATATATATATATATAATATAAAAACAGAGATGTTTTAGACATGAATCTTACGTTACGTTTAAAAATAAAGACATTTGTATACTTCAGTTTAGGGTTTCGCTGTCTTTTATGAAACGAAAAATTTAGCCTTTACGTCCATATGTGCGTACCTATATGTATATATATATATATATATATAAAATATAGGAAAATGTTATATCTTTCGTGAAACTTTTCTGAATTAAAACGGGGACGATGCAATTTTTTTTTCAATTTCCCCATCGCGTCCAATGATTTGTGGAACAGGTCTTTAAAGTAATTATGCGTTACCATAAACCTTTTTAATCATCAACCTTCAAAGTACTTAGCCTTCAAATGTATATCCAATTTTCTTTTGAAATTTTGCCACAAAAATATCTAAAATATTGCTCATTGAGCATACTTTACTTTAATTGAAATAGAACGAACTGCAATGAACGGATAAACACTGAAATGTTTAAAGTTAATAAAACAAAAAATGGGGATATCCTCAGAGCGGACACGTACGTTATGTGTGTCCCCAACACGCTCTCGTGTGGTCGTTTGTCATCCTTATTCTATGAAATTAAAAAATAAAAAATGACAAACGGCAGTATAACTATTTAAAGACTAACGACTGGTAAAGGGCAGCAGCTTTATTAGTTCGTGGGTATCGACTTTGCGAAAACTATAAGCTCTTTCTGGCATTTTCCTTAGTCAAAATGGGGGTGAAGGGTTAATGGTTCAGTTAGTAAAAAGACAGAGATAAAGGTAGCACTAAGAATTCATTCAGTTGAGTTAATAAATGGGAAGATGTGTATAGTCGAAGTTGACTTATTGAATATATCACTAATAGAATCATCATCATTAACATTAAAGCGCTTCACCAGTCCACTGCTGAAAATAGGACTCCCCCAAAGAATACAATAAAGCACGAACCTGAGCCACCTGCATCCATCGACTCCCTGTATGTCTTACCTGGTCGTCACTCCAACTAGTGGGGGGCCGCCCTACGCTTCGCCTACCGGTACGAGACTGCCACTTGAGAACACTTTTTCCCCAACGATTGTCAATTCTTCGAGCTATATGACCGGCACATTGTCACTGCAGCTTACTAATCCGTTGGGATATGGGTTACTCTAGTTCTACTGCAAATATTCACATTTATTAGTGTATCAAGCTCGCTGAGCGACCTTGAGATTCCTCATACGGCCAACAGTGAAGGACCACGTCTCAGATCGATAAGTCGTCACTGGCAATACGCACTGGTTTTACAACATGTTTTCAAGTTTTGAAATATATTGTAGGTATACTAATAGAACAATTGAATACAATTGGCTTAACATGACTTTCAGGCACTGAGCGCAGCCCCGACGCCAAAGCTGATCTCCAGTACGGACTGGATGCAGGCGCGTAACAGGAAACCTGCCAATTATAACTATCACCAACACTGGCTTGTACAGGTAATTCACGCTAAGAACTGTTTTATAATATTACAATAATAACCAAGTAGGAGTCAAACAGGTGGTACAGCAGTCTCTGGTGACCTACTACCATCAAAAAGGCCATGTACGTGGTGATCCCTTAGGACTACAAAGAATTGCCTCACGATGTATTTGTATTTGTATTTAGACTGGTGCTTTTACTGTTCAAACTGAAACACAACAGCGGGTGCAATAGTGCTTGGTACCAGAATGGTGCTAGAGGGCGCTATTTACTCAAACTTAGTTCCAGGCAGGAGAGGGTTGCACTATACGCGAACGATTTGAAGAAACTTGTCTGACTTTGATCTCTTGCGGTTTATTAGACAGGGGCCAAATTTCTTGTATAAGATAATTCGTATTTCAACGTGGTAGGAATTACGTCGCAACTATATTATGCAGCAGCTATATATTCCAGCATGAATGGGCCAGCTCAACCGGGGTAGAACCACGCTCTCACAAAATACCAGCGCAAAATTGCAGCTTAGTGCTGCTGTGTTTCGTATGGTCAGTGAAGAGAACCAGATACCATTTTTACTGGTAACGAAGCATTGCACTTTAGTCCTGAGAGGTGACAAAACATCTTCATTTTGATTCTTAATCGATGTAATGTCTGTAACAACTTCATCTATTATCGCTGGTTCACAGCACACACTTCACTTCTTTCTTTCTTTCAATAGTCATTTTCGTCATCATCATACCACCATTATTACTGCTCTTCACAAGTCCATTGTTTTGCCCTTTCTACCAAAGAATGCCATAAAACACGGTTAACAATATTTGACAAATATTAATGATTAATTAACCAGCGATGTTAAGTTACGGGTACACTAGTCACTCATTATTCCGTACAAACGTAGTCTGGCGATTGCTCTACTTTTTGATGGTGTACGTTCAAAATAAAAAATTATTTCAATTTGTCTCATCATTATCTAGCCCTGTATGGAAACAAAAAATAAAAAAGAATATATTTAAAAGTGCTAATTTTAACACATCTTTGGGCGGAAATAAACACCATAAGAAGAACGAAAATAGCAAAACAGTTACCATACAGGGATAGATTAGGTGTTCAAAAGTGCAAATAATTTTATTTGAACAGATATATTCAATAGATTTTTCACGATATTCAGATTTCCAAAGGTCTGTTTATAAAATTTCGCGCGTTCTTTTTTATTGTAAATCATTATGTCCTTCGCTTTCGCACGTGATATCGGCTGAGATAGCATGCATTTTAACCCCCCCCCCCCACCATTTAGTTCGTGCCGTCGACTAGGGACACCTTAACTGCTGCCATCAGTAACTGAATTGAAATGACAGGATTTAAAACAAATTAAATTAAACTAGATGAAATCCGTAAAAGTAGTTCTATTCGAGGGCATTACTTACATTGCAAAAGTGCTTTAGAAATAAGATAAGTGTTAAATTATTCCAGGAAGCAGAACACCGTCGGATAGAGGAGGCGAAGAATAAAATGCGCGCCAACCAAAGGCATTCATACCACGACGCGCCCCAAAACCTGCATCAGATGCATCAAATTAGTGCCAGGTAACCACCTCATCAGTATCTGATGATTCTGCATCTCTTGATTTTCTTAACGATGATTCACAATCGCTTTAATTCTAGTAGCTTAAGCAAGATTGAAGATCATGTGGTCCAGTGCTCGAATTTAAATTTTAAAATATTTATTTATTTATTTAGAGCATCTCTCTTTAAAATAATAAGGGCCTTTCTCAGTTTTTAGTTCAATAAGGGCTAATAATTACGCTCACCAGATGTAGGACTGAGGTTAACTTATTTACGTACATAGATGGTCACACAGTGTAATGAATATTGAAAAATTGCGATATAAGAGCTTTCTGGTTTCCAGTGTATTTATATACACAGAACAGTGAATGCCTCAGTGCTGTGTTATTTGGCTTTTTACAATTTTTTTTATTCTTATACTTTTAGAAATATCCGTAGTTTGGTTTATCCATTTCTAATGTAATCAATATAAAGCATAATATTCATCAATTTAACATATTTCAGAAGGAAACATTAATTTCTACACTTTTCTAACAAATTAACTTCCACCGACATGAAATCTGTAAAATATTTCACCTCGATCCTAAATAGTGCCGTCCTGGTAGCAGAGTAGTTTTAGTACATTAAAGAATTGTCAAAAGTAGCTCCCTCTCTCTTTTCACTAGATAATAATAAAAGGAGATAGATATAGAGATAATTAATACTTAAGTAGGCCCTAATCAACGATTATAATCAATTATATTACACACTTTCGACTTCAAAGTCGAAAGTGTGTCAATAGTGCAACACTCATTCTTAGTTACATATTTTAAAGAATTTACTACTTTATAGGCCGCCAGTTCCTGAAAAGAAATTTAAAAGTCTGTACGGCAAGGAAGATATTTCGGCAAAAATAGAGCGTGAGCATTTTTACCTAGTTATGTAGAAGTCGTGCCTCATTCATGCTCTTTGTCATTTCCCCCTTCAGGCCCCTTCCATACTTTAAAAACGCAACATTGTAGATTTATATTTAGTTAATATAAATATATATTACAGTACCGTGTAATGGAAGTTTAAGAGGATACCTTGAAAATGAATCGTAGTTTTGGGGGCGTGGCTTATTCCTTTGTCGGTGAAGTTCACGGACGACTGAGGGAGTGTCAAAATGAAAGTGATGCAATGACTTCATAATACGCAAATTATGAGATAGCTATACCGAGCACACGCTCGGAAAAAAACTAAGTAAACGCCAAACAACATTTTTATTTTTTTTAAGCAAAACTATGTTATGTATTAAAAAAAAATGGTTAAGAGAACTTAGATATAATTATTTACTATGCCTTAAAAATAATTCCATGAACTTATTCGTAAAATTATTGAGGTGTCATGGAAAAATGTAACTAATTAGAGCCTACTTTGGAATTTTTTTTATCGAGAAAATCTCATGATATCGTGTTTTTCTTTTATGCAATCCAAAGTCATATAGTTAAAAATCATATACCAACATGTTGGTTTGTAATCTATAAAACTTAAAGAAATATGTGAAATAGAAAAACCACCAAATTTTCGAGGTATCACCTTAAGAATATTCATTACCACAAATGATAGGGTCATTTCGTACTTTTTATGGCATTGTGTGACAAACGAGCACACAGTCCACCTGATCGTAAGTGTACCAATATGAAATAGCTGCAACGTGGCTATATCACGAATAAAATAAAAATTGGATTGAAGCTACTTCACACTCTGCTTATTACTACAACATTTATATATCTTTCTTTATCTTTTTTAACTTTGGTAAGACTGTGCGTCTTCCAAAAAAAGATCCAAATGATCTTACATTACTAAATAGCTCGTTGAATGTAATGGAGTCATAAGTTTATATATATATATAACATAACATAAACACTCACGCCTGTCACCCAGAGGGGTAGGCAGAGACTACAGACTTCCATTTGGCACGATCCTGACACACCTCTCTCGCCTCCTTCACATCCATACACCTACGCATACATGCTCGTCGGTTAAGGGTACTCCTAATTTGGCCCGTTTCCAATAAATCGCCAATTTGGTCGATAAATTTTCGCCTAGGACGTCCCTTTCCGATTCTGCCATTCACTTCTGCAACATAAATTTTCTTTGTCACTCTTTCCTCATTCATTCTTTCCACATGACCACACCACCGAAGCATTCCTTTCTTAATCCTGGTCACAACATCATCTTGCAAACCACACTCTTCTCTTATTACACAATTTCTTACCCTGTCGTTCAGATTCAGCCCTAACATACTCCTTAACGACCGTATTTCTACTGCGTTGATTCTACTCCCGTGCTTCTTCTGCCACACCCAACTTTCACTACCGTACGTTAAAGTAGTGACCAACACAGCATTGTAAATTGCTATACGTGCCTTTTTTGACACATTTTGACTCTTCATAATAGAGTGCAGGGTCCCATTTACTCTATTTCCCGCATTCACTCGTCGTTCTATATCCTTATCATATCTGTCATCCCTGCTAAATACGCAGCCCAAATATCATCTCATATCAACTCATCTACTTGCTTGATCAACTCCCCTTCTATTATTTCACAAATCGTTTTACTTTCTTCTCTTTCAAAAACCATAACCTTCATCTTACTTGCGTTCACTTTCATACCCCTTTCTTTTAATGATCTGTTCATTAATGTAACCATCATTTGCAACTCGGCCGCCGACGACGCAAGGATAACTTGATCATCGGCGTACAGAAGGCATTTGACGGTTAACTTACCCATTCTTAATCCGCATTCTTCAACTTTCAAATTTTGCAAACAACTGTCTATAAATAGGTTGAACAGCCACGGGGAAGACACACAGCCCTGTCTGACACCTTTATGGATGTCAAACCAGTCCGAGTAGACCCCCTTGATCCTAACACAAGCACTAGAGTCCCTATAAAGTGACTCCAATGCCTGTATCAAGCCAGTGCTCAACCCAAATGAGTTCAGTGTTTGCCATAGCACATCCCTATCCACTCTGTCATAGGCCTTTTCCAAGTCCATGAACGCACAAAAAACCTTTTGGTTTTTGGCCAAAAACTTCTCCGCTATCATGCGCATGGAAAAGACTTGATCTGTACATCCCATTCCCTTTCTAAATCCCGCTTGCACATCCCAAATTTTTCCATCAGTTTCTTTCATGACTCTTTCAATCAGTACCTTAGCATACAGTTTTCCCACAATGCTAAGAAGGCCGATGCCACGGTAGTTTTTACAGTCCTGCTGCGACCCTTTTCCTATATATATATATATATATTTAATATGTATTACAATAATAAAATTAAAAATTATGATACAATCCCATTCCCCGCAGTATAGTGTACCAAGATCATAAGTTAATTATAGTCAAGATAACAGTCTTTTTAAATTGTCCACAAATATATACGTATTTCAAATCGTTTGCCGAGAAGTAACTGGTTACCTTAACTTCGCTTCGGGTGTTCGCAATCAGTGCTTGTAATATATGTCGTCAATTTCTTGGAAACGGCTCTAATGATTTCAGTGAAATCTACAACTTAAAAATTTCAAAAAATTTGGCGAAAATGATATAAGAGATATTCGTTGGATTGTTTCGAAATAAACTCGCTCAGTTCACCAAAGTGGTAACTCTTTATTAGACTAATCTATCTTTTCATGAGTTCGCTCAAAAACTAAGAACTTAATCTTAAGAAACCTCTCATTACCATTGTATTTTGAACCAGTAATTCTTGCTTGGCGGCACCTTACCACATAGTTTTAAATGGAAATAAATGTCACAAATAAGTACACAGTCCACATGATGGTATGTGTACGCTGTGGCTCATAGACACCTACGTCTATCCTCGATTAATGACAAAAAAGCAGATGCGCAGTTACAGCTGTGAACTTAGATCAAATGCGTCATTACCAGTAATGAAACATGGCAACATTATGATGCAATTTAACGCTGTTATCCTGTCTGACTGACTCGCCGGTCTAGAGATCGTAAGCGCGGCTACTAATAATGAGGTTCTGAGTGCGAATTCCTGGTCGGGTCATAAAATTGTTGGGTTATTCTGTCAAGAAATTCTCAGTAGCAGCCGGCGTCAGGAAATTGGCGGCGTTTCACCCCCGTGCCTCGGAAGGCATGTAAGACGTTGGTCCTGTGCCTAATATTTTTTCGGTCGTTATGAGAGTGAAGGAATAGTGCACCTGTAGTCTATGCGTGGTAGACCCATGCTGCAGTTACATTAGTAGTATCATTGTAGCACGAATGGGTCGGCTTGACTGGAGAAGGACCACGTTCTCGCAGAATACTAGTGTAAAATAGTGGCTTAATACTTCTGTGTTACGTATGGTGAGTATAGAGAACCAGAGACCCTTTTTACTGGAAGAGGCATTCCATCTCAGCCCTCATGATTGACAACGCGTCTGCATTTTGATTCTTGATCGAGGATAAATGTAGATGTCTATTGGCCACAGCACCCACTTACCATCAGGTGGACTGTGTGCTCGTTTGTCACCCTTATTCTATAAGATAACTAAAGATAATAAAATAAAATCTGGGTGTCTTCAAGACTAGAGGGAACATAACCTATTCACTCTAGTCTTGAAGACTAACTTATTGCGCTAAGACAGTGATTCTGTGAAATAACTACTAATCGGGTAGAATTATAGTTAAGTACTGGCTTATAACCGGGTTCGATCCCCGCCGGCACCAAATGAAATTGTTAATTGCAATTTTACCACGTACTCGGCGGTGAAGGAAAACATCGTGAGGAAACCTGCATGTCTGAGGTATAAGAAAAAAAATATTTCGGAGACATGTGAAGTTCGCCAACACGCATTGGGGCAGCGCGGCGGACACTTCCTTGCCCTAAAACCCCTGGCTTGTGCCCAGAAGTGGGACGTATATAGGCTCTAACTTTTACTGGTTTATAATAATAAAATAAAATAAAAAAGTGTGCAGTTCATACGCGGTAGAAGTAAAATCTTCAAATGAAATGATATATAAATAAAAATATTTCACGGCAAATGATTAATTTAATAACGGGATTTTTAATCACAAGCGCGGCACAAATATAAGATAAAAGTTTATTTTTATAGCTAATTTTAGTGTTAATAAATCAAAAGAATAGTTTCTTTCGAGTAAATTTGCTTTGTAATGGCGCTATCTACTTTATTCTATAGGTAAACTCATTATATCGAACAAAATTTGATTTTCTCTCAGGTGGTACGTAAAATAGATGCTATATGGTCTGGAATTATGAAATCGTGGATTATTTTGAATGGTTTTGATGTGATAATTTTATTTAATATGGTTATTTTTTTGAAATAAATTTGTTATTTTTTATATTTTAACACTTAAAATTTATGTTAACAATCTTTAAAGCATCGAACAAGGAGGAGGCTGAGATAATAGGAAACATTGTATTATTTTTAATACTAGCAGTGCTATTACCATTACTAATATTCCTTGAACGCACGTTTGTCACCACCGCACTCGCCGTACGCGTCGCATTTCATAAAATGCGGTAGGTATCCGAATATTGAAGCACACATGCTGATGACGTCATATAATGCGGCGCGTTCGGCGTGTGCTGATACTGTGTTATGTACTTGTTTAATGTTGCCAACTTAGTGGATTTTCCCCTAAAACTGGTGGTTTCGGCTTTTGTTTCGAAATATATTTTTACTTCATTTCAGGAGCTTCCTTTATCCTTTATAGGCAATATTTGTGTAGGCAACATTGAGTCACACAAGACTTTTTATAACTTTTATTGAATACGTAATTAATTATGCATAATTTGAAAAAAAAATGCATCGAATACGAATACTAATTTATTATATTTATACTTATATTGTTAATTAATGGTAATTGAAAAACCCAATCATACCTGTTCACTTAATTATCAGTAAAAATACTTACAGCAAACATAAAACAAGTCTTTCCTTTATAGAGAGATATGGTTTTAGTATATGTAGCAGTTTTTGAAATTTCATTTATGTTAAATGCAAATATCTGAAAAATCGTTCATAATTCATCTAATAAGTCTTTTAATAAAGTATAGTATTTTACATACAACTGCCTTTTTAAATTAATATTACGAATCCAGAATCTTCTTTTCTTCGACATTTATTTTCTACTACCACTGCCAATAAGCAGGCTATTACAAAAAAAAATCCATAGCGATCCGAGCGATCAATGTCACACTACCGTTTCGCACCAGTAGTTGGAAAAAACTTTAAAAGTTTTTGGCAATACAACGCGTACGTACAAATTTGCGAGGCCATTTGAAAACGCGGCGCGTAAGGTGCGGACATATGTGCGATCAGCTTTAACCTCTCAAATAACAAGCGGCCAAATTTGACCGCTTCAATATTCCGTCAAAATTCAAACGGTCAAATATGACCGCACCCACCCACAGCACTTTAACCCATAAAATCTTATATTTAGAGACTACTTTTCTATGAAGAAGTTTGGCATTATAGAATCAATATGAAATTTTCTATTCTCTAGTGGAATAAAAAAACAGTTAGTCTATGGATATTAATTTATATTCTACGTTCATTATGTACACCATTTTCATTTGGATGTTGCTGTGTTGATTTTTGGATTTTCCTAGTGTTTTATAAGTGTTTTACTATAGTGTTTTATTATAAAATTGTTATACAAGTTTTAGTGTGAATATAATTTATCTTTTTACGTAAATAATTTCGAGTAATATATATAAATTATTGTGATTTTCATGCTGCCGACATCCGCTATATATATTTTTATTGTTATCAAAATACAATAAAATCTTTTTCTAATGAAGTAAAACCTGACTTTTGTTTAGACCACAAGATTAAGAATGTTTAGGCATAATTTTAGCGCGCGTTCCGAGCGGAGAAACCGGTTTGACGGCGGGGCCGGGGGGGGGGGAGGAGGCGGAGCTGTGCGGCCGAGGACTGCACGGACGGGTCTCGACCTTCTTGGTGAGCGAGCCGTAGCGTTCAGAGGTCACGCGTATTATTTTTGATATAATTGCCGCGTCGATGCCCGGATCGATTATACTTCGCGAGCCTTACGGTTTATCTTAATTTGTTTGTTTTCTTGATAACGAAGCCGGGATTATATAATTGTGGTTGTGACCGTTTTAAGTACCGTTTTGACTGGCATACGGTTGCGGGCGGCTGGTGTTTTGGTTGAAAGACAATAATAAGGAAACGTGCCTAAAATCTGAGTTAATTGTGCCCGCCATTTTGAATTTACTGTTGAATATTTAGAGTGAGTAAAGGAACGTTTATGCCGTTAATTGCATCGACGAGTTATTAGTGCTATAGCGTGATAAAACTTTTACCTTGTCGCTGAGAACGCTGAACCTAGTGATCCGATAACGGGGAGCGTCTTGTGGAGCGGTCGGCGAACGTGGTGCAGCTATATATATATATATATATATATATATATATATATATAACTACCATTTACTTGCCCCTGACGCCACCTTGTGGTAGACCCTACACTTATGGAAGTCGGTAAGTTTGTGTTTGCCTACCTAACTGTTCTTATTTAATTATCCATAAGCCATTGGGCTCCACCCTTGGTTGCTCGTCGAGGGGATCACTCCTGGGCCCTGATTTCGTCGATCTTTGTTGGGTAAGGGCGTGTACAGAGAATTATGTATAGATTTTATAATGCCAAACTTCTTCATAGAAAAGTAGTCTCTAAATATAAGTTTTAATGGTTTTAAGTGCTGTTGGTGGGTGCGGTCGCATGCGACCGCTCGGGATTTACCAGGCGCGAATTTTATGGGGATTGAAGGGTTTACCACTACTAGTAAGCTGATAATGCTTGTGTTAGGAAAATTTCACGACAGTAGTCGAAGGGCGGATCCGAACACACAATCTTTTGAGTTCGCGGTCTGCACCTTTCTGCTCATTCTCTCGCAGGCTAATTCCTCAAGATGTATATGTTTGTCTCTGTCGCTTATTCGTTTCATCTAGTTTTAAATCACAACTATTCTAAAGAAATTTTAACTTCAAAAATATCTGGCACTGGCAACCTTTTACACCTGTGCTTAGTTTCTAAAAAAATATTAGCACTTAAAGTCGTAGCTCAACAAATACTTGAGCAACAAGACCGTGTGTTTTACGTTGTGGCAATAGTTGATCGGAAACTAGACTTCTATACAGTTTAATATAAAACTGTATAGAAGTCTAGTTTCCGAATTTCCGAAATATATTTTTGGAGTACATCGACCGCCTTCAGTTGTTAGGGGTGAAGATATGTTCAAACCTTAACTATGGGCGGTTCATTGAGTCCAGGGTCAGAGCAACTGCAAGGAAAGTAGATGTCCTAGCAAGGGTGCGGGGTAGATCACCCAGTGGCGGCTTCCGAACCTATATAAAGCGCAAGTCCGCTCTTGAATGGAGTATTGCTGTCACATATGGGCTAATGCTGTAAGTGCTAAGAGCTTATTAGTGACCTTGATTTGGTGGAAAGTAATCTTGTCAGTCTCTTCACTTTCCAACACCGAACTAACGAAATTCGAACCAAACAGTTTACTATGTCTTTCGTAATGCATACAGTGAACAAGTGGATTAATTTGACGGCCTCTGTCTTTCTGTCCAATTACAATATGAGTATCTTCAAGGCAAGAATGAATAGGCATTAATTATGCAAGGACTGACTTACGATAAGTAACAAAAACATCTCGTCTGGGTTCCGTGTACAACGCGTGGTAAACGTAGGCTGTTTGACGTCTATCAAGAAGTTTAATAATTTGCTGCCACAAGTATTTGTGCAACACACGTCATGCAGAGTGGTAGTGTTGAAAGTTAGTAGAGTGGTAGTTTTATACGCGGTAGAGCCACGATGAGTCATATTTTAGTTGTAACACGAATAAGTCGGCTCGACCGGGGTAGGACCACGCTCTCACAGAATATCAGTGTGAAATAACAGCTTAATGCTGCAGTGTTTCGTATGGTGAGTGTAGGGAACCGGACAACATTAGTCCTCAGGTGTGACTACGAATCTGCATTTTGATTCTTAACTGAGGTTAAATGTAGATGTCTATGGGCTAAAGCATCCACTTACAATCAGATGGACTGTGTGCTCGTTTGTCTCACTTATTGTAGAAAAAAATTGATTTGTGTGCTCCGGTTTTAATCTCTAAAATATCTACAAGTATTCTAGAATACCTTCGTGATACTTCACACACATTGGCTAGCTTTTGTAAACGTTGTAGGCTTGATTGTAATGTTGATATAAAGAAATAGAAAAGCTTAGTTGTTTATCTATGCTGTACGATTTTATTTGTTCTATTATTTAATTGTACAACAATACATACTTATATGAACTATTTCTAAAAAAAAGTTGCGGTTGGTTTCTTGTTGGTCCTTCTCAGGACTGAGGTGTTCTCGTAATCAGTAGTAAATAAAGTATTATGTATAATCTATATTGAATAAAAGTATCTATTATGATGGAATATTTTATCCTTTACCTTTGCAGAGAAAAAAGATGCATCTGCGAGAAAGAGATCTGATAAATAATTGTATTTTTTATCGGGTCTCAATCGCACTAGGCATATTTTAATTATGAGGTAGTCTCTTAATAATTTTTAAGTGCTTCTGTACAACTAAGTAAATAAATTTGTTTTTACTACAGATACATAGATATTTTACCGATAATTACAGTTAAAGAAAAACCTCATTTCAAAAATCAAAAAAAAATTCACTAAAAATTATTTAATTACCTAAAAACATTACGTTAACTATGCCACTGTAATAAGATGTTCGTTAACTTACACCTTTATTAATAATTATATTAATGCGTTCAGCCAACAACAGTTGCCGCAAGACTACAAGCGTCCCGTGCGAGATGCGACACGGACAGATGGGCGAGAAGATAAACAAGTGCTGAGTGTCAGTGGCAAGAGGAAGTGTTCGCATTGTGGCGAGGAATTAGGTGAGGAATGATTACTTATGTTGTTATTACAAAATTAATTTTCAATACTAGCTTTAAAATCATTCACAACTTCTCGGTGTAAACTACATCATTGCAAATGTATTCCAATGGGTAACTTATTGCGTTATTTGAAAACAATATAGTACAAAGGTAGTTTGTTACTTAGGGCAATTTAACTTGTTGGTCCTTCGAGACGGATATTTCATGGAAAGCAAAATAATCTTGAAATCCATCAAGCAAATTGACTTTGGACTTCTTCAATCTTTAAAAAATTTTGTTAACTGGTGCACTTTAATATTTCGTCTGTAGATTTAAAAATTGTATGATGACGGTAGAAAGGTTTAGTGGGCATTTCTTTCGCGTAGCGTGGCGGCGTGTTTTGTGTTTGTTTGTATATTAAGTGGTAAGCATCTGCGCAGGGCGCGGCGCCGCGATGATCATTGAGTCGTTGGCGCTGTGCTACCACGTGTGGTGCTTCTGTTGCGCCGTGTGCGGCGCGCGGCTCGGTGACGGGCGCGCGGGAGCTGACGTGCGCGTGCGCGCCGGCCGCCTACACTGCCACCACTGCTACTCCGCGGATGACGGCTCCAAGTACTCCTGCGTGTAGATGCTCAGCATAGTCACACGCTGTGAGGCGTTCCATCGTCATCCTCAACAGTGGCAACGCATCTGTGACTTTCTTCATTTGAAATTGGTTGTAGGTTTCCGTGGATGCAGTAGCATCATCAGGTATATTATTAAGGACGAAGTTAATCAAACAAAACCTCTATAAACGACAGGACTACCGCTGTAACGTGTCTCCGCAGACGGCAATATTCCTGCGGATGACCTTCGGCGTGCTGCATACATTTATATGTTTGTCCTATACATAACGGTGGCAAGTAGCTACTCAGTCACAATTTTTTACCAACATAAATACTAGAGCCAATATGTTTTCGTAATTGCATTAATAGCTCATAATTTCATTATCAAGACTTATTAAGAAATTGAACTACGATAAACAATGACTATTATCAAGTATATGTAATGAAGATGATCTTTACAATGTGACTTGTTTGTATAATGACTTTCTACTTGTTCAGACTTGCAACGTGCAACGTTTATTTTGTTCAAAAAACTACTAATAATCTTGGATAGAGTTTTTTTTATTATTGAGTTATAGAAGCATAACAATATTATTTATAATTAATGTTACACTGTCAAATGATTTCTTATGTTGATTTTCAGAAAATTTTCTGTTGAATGTTATTATGCATTGCTTCCCTATGTATATAATTAAATAAACAAAGCTTATTCTTACAACATCCTGTATATGTTACATTTTATAAAAGTAACCAAAGTATGTACAGGAGACGTTAAAACGTTATGATAGTCAAATGGATTTGTGATCCTGTGTGGTCCACTGACGTAGCGCGATAGTTCTCTACCGCTCTGTCTGTCAGTTTGTGCATCACCAAAACGTCTGTGCGACTCAGCGAGCCTGAGTCCATTATTGCACGCTTTTGTTTCCTAAATACGATCGCAAATTCTCCTTTGTCACACATTGCATTAATATGTAATGCATACTAGAAAAGACGCCTAGACTGGGTATTTTGTAAAACGCATTAGTGCCATAAAATGGTACTCTTTTGGTCAAATACTAAAACACTACTCAATTTTAAAATGTCGTTAAGTCTCGTTGTGTCACAGTCACTTTAACTTAATGTGATAGAGACAGCGCGACTTTTAAAATTGAGCAGCGTTTGTGTTTTGGTTTTCTCTATTCATGCGCCCCGCACAGCCGTGCCGTACAGATTTCGTTTACTTTGTCACTTCTAGTACGTAGTAAATATGTATTAATTCAATGTTGTCACGTGTATTTTTTTAAGTTTTTATTCTTCTGTAATATTTTCACTAATTTTTCGTATATCGTGCCATGCCATAGTTCTCTTGTTAATGCAATACACTTTACGGATTCTACAGTAATTTACTGATTAATAATTACATTAATACGTTGGAATTTAACAATGTAATTTTTCGTCGCGTTATTCGACAATTAATGCGAGATGGACTTTTGTATAATTATGTAAATAATTTCTAATTTATGCCTTAGCGTGTGTTATTTTAGCTTTAATAGTTAGTACATTAGGTTAATTGGAGGTACATTAATCCAAATATTTTCTGTTGGTTAACATTGTATAGATATTTTGTATAACATCATTCTAATATGGTATTTTTGTACTGGTGTTCTCAAATGATAGTATTGTAACGTTAACGATCTTATTCTTTGATGCACGTTATATCGACATTGTCATTGTAATTATGTTAATTTTGAACAACTTGTACATTGTTTATGGTAAAAGCTACACTCTGTATATCAAATAAATAAATACTACAAATGCATGGTTTTATTTCTTTTTAATAAATAATAAGTTCCTTGAAAATGTTGCCATTTTTATCTCATCTTACTTCTGGATTGGAACTGTCTTCTTTTTCGAAGTAAATACAATATATTGTCAATTGAATCTATACAAAACCCAAAAAATTTTTCTATCTATGGCCGTTATAGACTGAAACCATCCGACCGATTTTGATGATTTTTTTTTAAATTTATTTATTCATATAAATGTAAGTACATTATTTTTACTATTCTCTCGCTAAACTGCAATCGGTTTGTCGGCGAGTACACGCTCTTAAAACTATATATCATTATGCACCATCACCTACAAAAAAAAAATTAATTACAAAAAAAAAAAAAAAGAAAGAAAATATAACCTTATCTTACTACAATTTCACAATATTTAGAAATTATTAAACTAAAAAAATAAACAACAGCAATAAACAAATCAAATAAAAAACGATTAACAAAAGTATGCAACAATGTATGTGCTATAGCTCTGTTAATAATGTCCTTTTCAGAGAGGATTTTAATAAGTTTTTGCTTAATTTATTTTTATTTTTATTTGGCGGCGTTTCTCTTAACCATTTTATTTTGTTATATATTCTGGGTACAATGTATTTATTCAAGCGCTGTCCATAATAGTTATTTGCACTAGGCTCTTCAAGTTTTTTTCCCTTACCTTACGCGTGTTGTAGGTGTTAATAACAGGTACTTTGTAGTCGTCAGTATAGTAATGTTTAATTGCTATTAAATATTTTAACCGTGTTTCAACAGGGAGTATTTTACACATGGGAAATAATTTTTCAGATTGTTTTTTACAGCTTTTCTTATCTTTTGAATTAATTAAAAATTTTATAATACGTATTTGTAGGCTTTTCACTTGTTTTATATAAGTACTAAATGTACGGCCGTACACAATAAGACCATAGTTAATTAAAGATTCAATTAATGCATAGTAAACCACTAATAGAACATGTTTACTTACTACTTTTCGAATTTGATAGAATTTGCCTAAAATGGACCTTAATTTTGAACATACTTCTTCAATGTGTAATGTCCAATTTAAACTACTATCTACCGACAATCCTAAATATTTGTAACTATTAACAAATTCTATTTTGGCACATTGACATGATAATTTTCCCCTGTGCAAGCACTCATAGTCATGCCCTACAATACCTATATTTGTAAATGCATACACTTTGTTTTTTTCAAGTTCTATAATATGCCGTTATCATGTAACCATTGGGTAATCCGATCAAATTCTTCCTGTATTTTATCGCAAGCTTCATGTAAGTTTTTGGAAGCATACAATAGGCTCGTCATCGGCGTACATGTAGGTATCGCAGTGATGCACTACATTAACCACACTGTTCACCAGTATAATGTACCCTACGGGGCCGTACACAGAACCGGTTGGTACACCGAAAGAGATGTGTTCTTCAGCGTCAGTCGTCCCATATTTGATAAATAATTACGGAACCATTCATTTACAGGGCCCCGAATTCCACATTCCTCCATAGCCCCCAGAAGTACCTCATGGTCCAGAGTATCAAATGCCTTCTTATAGTCTATAAAAAGAGCCACAACCTGTTCACCATTATTAAGACTGTTGTTAATTGCTTCCGAAAACTTAGTTAACGCAGTACTAGTACTCCGTCCTCTCCTAAAACCATGTTGACAATCAGTAATAATGTTAAATTTCTCTAAGAATCTACTCACTCTTTGTATGACTGACTACCTTTGCTACAATTTTATTTATTACTGGAAGAATAGCTATTGGCCTGTAATTTGTGTTTTCATACATGGCTGCCACCTTTGCTACATTATTTAACTGGAAGAATTATTGGGATTTGTCCTGGTCTTATTATGGATTTTTTTTAATTCATCTGGATAAATACTTTTTTTGAACATAAATTGATAAATTTTGCTAAAATTGGACTTATTTCATTTTTTATATACTTCAAATCTTTAACTCTAATTTTATCTACCACCCCTGGTGACTTTCGTTCTGATAACTTATTTATAATTTCTTTTATTTCCGACGAGTTTACTTTTACAAACCTGAAAGATACTACTTTGTGTATTGTGTGTGTGTGTGTGTGTGTGTGTGTGTGTGTGTGTGTGTGTGTGTGTGTGTGTGTGTTTGATGGTATGTATATATGAATCTGCATGTTCCTCTTCCAAACTAGTGTGGTTAACGAATGCGGTTCCGATTAAAGAACCCCCCCCACAAAAATGAACGTTTAAATAACCGATTCAGCCTACGTCACATAAAATAAACGAATGTTTTCCGCGCAACACCCGGTAAGTGACGCTGTTATCGAAATCCAGAAATCACCTTCAGTTTTCACAGTCCACAAGACAGGTCTCGCGGAGTATCTTAAAAATTAAGTTAATGTGATTTCTCACAGTTAGGTGGTCTATACATATAACATGCTTTGTCCTGAATGACTGACTGACGGATCAACGCACGGCCTAAACGGCCTAAACTGACCTGAAACTTGGAAGGTGTGTTCTTTGTATGACGTAGGCATCCAATAAGAAAGGATTTTCCAAAATTCTAAGGGGTTGAAAAACGGGGGCAAAATTTGTATGGGACAACTTGATTCCTTGGTCCAATCTACTTCAAAGCATAAACATTCTTTAAAAGAATTGATGGAAGACGTATTTTGTATTTTATAGAAACTCATCGGCTAACGGGGTTAAAAAGGGGTAGAAAGTTATTTCGGGGGTCATTTGCATCGAAGTTGATAGCAATACTCCTTAGTGCTCATAACGTTGAACTCACATAAAAGCTTGGTGCAATGCAATACTTACTAACTTAATAAGTTCGGCGTTTTCGGGCGAATTCCGCCACTCGCTCTAACTCGATGGTAGGATCTGAGTTCTCTCCGGGAAGATAGGCTGAGCAAATGATTACTCTGGGCCCTGTGCATCCCTGATTTGATGATTTATGAAGGCTGTAACCAGGTCATCATTGCAGTACTCTGGAACAGCTAAAAGTTCAATGTTTTTATTGTAAATTATACAACCTCTGAGTCTACTGCCTTCAGTATTGACAAAAATGTTACCGGCAGCCGACAATACCAGAACTTGACCGTGAGCCACCCAAGGCTCTTGTATAAGCGCGAGGTCAACGTTTTCCTCTGCAAAGCAAACCTCCACCAAAGCAGAAGCAGCTGCGGCATGGTGAAATTTGCCTGGAGAACCCTCGTTCTTGGGGT